AAGGCTACATACTGATCCAGCTGCTGTGGAAGGCAGCCTGGCAATATCTGGTAAGGCTGAAGAAACAAACAGCACAAAGCTCAGCAAAGATCGCTTCTACTTACATACCTCAAAGTTATCATCTGTGAATAAGGAGACACATTCCAGAATGTTCTCTGCACCACAGCTTGTGTCTGTGGAAAAACTGAAAACTTCCTAAGTATATTTATACAATTGGACATCATGCAGCAATCAAAATAAATGAACTAGAGTTAATGTATCAAAGTGGAAAAAAGATTGGTTTTTTAAAAAAAATGACTTAGAGATCATGAAGTAAATCCCAGTACATTTCAGAGAATTTAAATAATCAGAAAATGTTCTGAGATCACAATGCAATTAAGGCAAAAATCAATACCAATGGGAATGGAGTTTGCTTTTGGGATGACGAAATTGTTCTGGGATGAGATAGTGCAGATGGTTACACACACTGTATATGTGCTAAATGCCACTGAGTTGTACATTTTTTTAAGAAAATGGTAAATTTTACATTATGTGTATTTTACAATTAAAAAATCAATAACAAAATTACCAAGGAAAATCCCATGTTAATAAAATAGTACTCTTCTCAATAACTGATAAGTCAAAGGAGAAGGTGCAATGGAACTCAGAATACTGAAATAATGAAAATACAACATATCGAGTTTTAGGAAGTGAAGCTAAAGCTATGTCTAGAGAGAACTGTATAACTTTCATTTATTAGAAAAAAGACTGAAAAATCAATGAACATTCAGCCCAGGAAGCTGGAAAAAGAACAGCATATTGAATCTAAAAATAGTAGAAGGAAACAAAGTGTCAAACAAGATAAAATTTAAAATCACACCACCACTATGGTCGACTAATCTTTGAAAAAGCAGAAGAATATCCAACAGAAAAGAGACAGTCTCTTCAGCAAATGGTGCTGGGGAAATTGGACATCCACATGCAGAAGAAGGAAACTGGACCATTCTTTTTTTTTTTAAGTATTTTTTTAATAATTTTTATTTACTTAGGATAGTCACACAGAGAGAGAGAGAGAGAGAAGAGAGAGAGAGAGGCAGAGACACAGGCAGAGGCAGAAGCAGGCTCCATGCACCGGGAGCCCGATGTGGGATTCGATCCCGGGTCTTCAGGATCGGGCCCTGGGCCAAAGTCAGGCGCCAAACCGCTGCGCCACCCAGGGATCCCTGGACCATTCTCTGACACCACGCACAAAGATAAACTCAAAATGGATGAAAGACCTAAATGTGAGACAAGAATCTATCAAAATCCTACAGGAGAACACAGGCAGCAATCTTTATCACCTCGGCCACAGCAACTTCCTCCAAAGGAAGACACATCTCCAAAGGCAAGGGAAACAAGAGCAAAAATGAACCATTGGGACTTCAAGATAAAAAGCTTCTGCACAGCAAAGGAAACAGTCGACAAAACCAAAAGACAGCAGACAGAATGGGAGAAGATATTTGCAAACATCTTATCAGATAAAGGGCTAGCATCCAAATCTATAAAGATTGTATCAAACTCAACACCCAAAACATAATCCAATCAAGAAATGGGCAGAAGACACAGACAGACATTTCTCCAGAGAAGACATACACATGGCCAACAGACACATGAAAAAATGCTCCACGTCCCTCGGCATCAGGGAAACACAAATCAAAACCACAATGAGATACCACCTCACACCAGTGAGAATGGGGAAAATTAACCACACAGGGAACGACAGATGTCGGTGAGGATGTGGAGAAAGGGGAACCCTCTTACGCTGTTGCTGGGAATGCAGCCACTCTGGAAAACAGTGTGGAGTTTCCTCAAAAAGTTGAAAATACAGCTACCCTATGACCCAGCAATTACGCTACTGGGTATTTACCTCAAATATAAAATACAGTGGTCTGGGGGATCCCTGGGTGGCTCAGCGGTTTAGCCCCTGCCTTCGGCCCAGGGCGTGATCCTGGAGTCCCGGGATCAAGTCCCACATCGGGCTCCCTGCATGGAGCCTGCTTCTCCCTCTGCCTGTGTCTCTGCCTCTCTCTCACACATCTCTGTGTTTCTCATAAATAAATAAATAAATAAATAAATAAATAAATAAACAAACAAATAAATAATAAATAAATAAATAAATAAATAAATAAATAAAATACAGTGATCTGAAGGGGGCACCTGCACCCCAGTGTTTATAGTAGCAATGCCCACAATAGCCAGACTTGTGGAAAGAGCCCAGATGTCCGTCAACAGATAAAGATGCGATATATATCTGTATACATACAGTGGAATACTACTCAGTGATCAGAAATGAAATCTTGCCATTTGCAACAACGTGGATGGAACTAGAAGATATGCTAAGTGAAATAAGTCAATCAGAGAAAAATAATTATATGATCTCACTCATATGTGGAATTTAAGAAACGAAACAGGATCATAGGGGAAGGGAGGGAAAAATAAAACAAGACGAAATCAGAGAGGGAGACAAACCATAAGACACTCTTAACTACAGGAAACAAACTGAGAGTGGCTGGGGGTGGGGGCATGGGGAGATGGGGTAACTGGGTAATGGACATCAAGGAGGACAAGTGATGGAATGAACCCTGGGTATTTATAAGACTGATGAATCAGGGATCCCTGGGTGGCGCAGCGGTTTGGCGCCTGCCTTTGGCTCAGGGCGGGATCCTGGAGACCCGGGATCGAATCCCACGTCGGGCTCCCGGTGCATGGAGCCTGCTTCTCCCTCTGCCTGTGTCTCTGCCTCTCTCTCTCTCTGTGTATGACTATCATAAATAAATAAATTTTTAAAAAAATTTAAAAAAAGACTGATGAATCACTGACCTCTGCCTCTGAAACCAATAATACATTATATGTTAATTTAATTTAAATAAAAAATAAAATTATAAAATAAAATATAAAAACAATACCGAAAGTCAGTAAAGCCAAAAGTTGTTTCTTTAGAAAGACTGAAAAACGGCAGCCCCGGTGGCTCAGCGGTTTAGCGCCACCTTCAGCCCAGGGCCTGATCCTGGAGACCCCGGATCGAGTCCTACGTCAGGCTCTCCCTGCATGGAGCCTGCTTCTCCCTCTGCCTCTCTCTGTGTCTCATGAATAAATAAATAAAAGCTTTACAAAAAAATACCAATGTCATGACAAACAAATGCAGTCTGAGAACCTGTCCTGGAGTGAACGGGAAAAGACCTCTCAAAGCCACAAGGGACCCCAGACCTTGGTAAAAAACAAAGACCACGGGCCTACTGACAGCTGCGCACGAGGCCTGCGGATGGACACTACTGGGGTAACCCACCTGGTGTTGGGAGAAGGCACGTCCTTGTTCTTAGGAAGCACACGCTGGGCCCCGGGCACATATCCGAGACCTGCTCCAGCAGCTGGGGTTCAAACGGACCCAGGGGTGGAGGTCAGCATTTAGTCCCCGCTGGCCGCTCCCCGTCAAGCCAGGGCTCTGGGAGCCGGGCCGGGGGAGCTCCCGGAAGCCCCAGAGCAAAGACGACCCCGGGGCTCGTGCCGCTGCTCCTCTGGGCCGGGCCCGGGCCCTTCCGCGAGCCGATACCCAGCGGGGTCTTGGAAAACAGGCTGCTCCCGGGCACCCGGCGCCCTGCCTCGCGGGAGCAGTGTGGGCGGCTCCTGCGCGCGGCCTGCGGGTCCCCCAACAGCCACCTGCTTTTCCACACGGGGAGACAGGGGGGCCTGAGGAGGAGAGCGGGGGTTCCAGCTGGGCCACCCTGCAGGGGCTTAGGCTCGGTGTGGGCTCCCCGAGCCCAGCCTCGCCCCCCACACCCGCACGCTAGTCTAAGGGCCCAGACAGCATGGACCACTTGCCCGTCCCCTCGCTTCTCTGCTGGGCCAGGGGGCCGGTGCTCCGTGGCTGACAGGGTCACCAGCCACCTGAACACCCGACCCTCCGATGGTGCTCATAGGGTCAGTGACTTGGGCGGGGGCAGACTCGTCCGCCTCCCAGGTGCAGTAGGTCAAACTGGGGTGAAGCTCCGAATCCCACCCCGCGCCCCGCACCTCCGGCTTGCACCCGAGCCCAGGGACGCCACAGCGGCGGGTCCAGGGCCCCGCAGAGGGTGCGCTGGGAGCAGGGGGGGGGGCGCACAACCCCCGGATGTCCGCCTGCCCCCGGGGCTGGGGAGCGCGGGGAGCAGCCGCCTGCGGCCGCGGGTGCGACCTGCTGGCGGGACGCTGCACCTGCCGCCGGCCCCACGGCCTGTGGGCGCCACCCCGCCGCGCTGGGAGACCCCACCTCCACGCCTCCCGCCCCGCGGCGCCGCACGGGCGAGCCCCTGGGGGGGGACGCGGAGCCGGGTCAATGGTCCGAGGCAGGACCCCACGCTGTGATGGGCGCTCCAAATGGGTCCCTTCGCGTCCCCACGCCTCCCCACTCCGGGAGGGCTGACCCGGGCTCCCCTGAAGAAGCCTCTGCTCCGTTTCTCTTCCCGCTGCCCCAGCGCACGGAGTGGCAGTGGTTAAAAGCTGGGCTCCGGCTCCAGGGGCACCAGACCCCCGTCCCCAGCAGGTTCTGCGGCCGCTGGGAGCAGCCAAGTAGCACGCAGAGGATGCTGATGCTGCGGCGCCCCATTTCCACAGCCGGGCTTTCAGGCCTGTCCCTTGCGTGTCCCTGTCCCCCCACTCTGTCCCCTCCCCACCTGTGCAGCACCCTCCCTTCCTCCTGCTCAGGGCCTGGACCCACTGGCACAGTCCCCGGGACAAGGCCCTCTGGCCTAGAGGCCCAGACCTGCCCTCCCTGCGCAGCATCGCTGTCCCAGACCCTCACCCAGCCCAGGGACCCAGGTGGTACCTTCCAGAAGCAGGTCAACCCTGCCTCGTGCTGGAGCTCTCCCTGGCAGACGAATGCCCCTGCAGTCAGCCTTACACACATGCATGCACACACACACACTCAGAGATGGCAGCTGTCAGAGAGCTCACTAGCAGACGGACTATCTCCCCTTCCCAGCAGCGCCCAGGCAGGGACAGACCACCCAGGCACAGGTACGCTTTATTACTGTTTCCACAACTGATTGTCCTGAAGGAGGATTCAAACCCCTTCCCGCTCATTTATAATTTATAAAGAACAGGCTTATGGGGTTCCAGGTGCTTCACGATGAGCCAGGCACACAGCTTTCCCAAGGCAGCCCTAGGAGTCAGAGGAAACACAACCTCTGCTACTCTGGGCCCTGGCATTTCGGCCCCCACTCCTCCTCCTGACCCCTGACCTCAGGGAAGAGCAGATGCTGCCAAGAGCCTGTCCCACCTGAGTCTCCCCACCTGGGTCTCCCGCTGAGCAAGGAAAGGGGGGGGGTCCCAAGGTGGTAATTCAGCCCTTCCCAAGGCCCCGCCTCCAGGAGGCCAGGTCCACTCTGATGAAGAAAAGAAGGCACAGGTGTGAAGAGGAAGCAGTGTCTAAAAGCGGAGCTGAAGATAGGGGTCTTCCGAATAGGTCTCCTTCCTTCACCTTTCCTTTCTCTCAGGCTTAGCCTGGGCAGTCTGGTCTGGGGTGCGTGGAGGTGAGGGCAGCAGAAGAGTCCACACCAGAGGGCTGGGCCCTGGGCGGTCCTGGCAAGAAGAGGCACAGCCCCCCGAGCTGGGCACCCCGCAGCATTCCTGAGCATCTGGTTGAAGGCCTCCTGGCTCCTGCCCCTGTTTCCCACTGTCCTCAGGCCAGCCTGGCCCCCATGTGCGGTGCTCCTTAGCCCTTCCTCAGGGCTCAGTTCCGGTAACTCTTGAGCAGGTGCCCCGCAATCACCAGCCTCTGGATCTCACTGGTGCCTTCATAAATCTCGGTGATGCGCGCATCGCGATAGTGTCGCTCGGCCGGCATCTCTGTCACGTAACCCATGCCACCCAGGATCTGGATGGCCTACCAGGGAAAGCAGGTGGCGGGAGGGAAAAGCTGCGTCAGGGGCGGGACCGGCCACACTGAGGGACCAGGGGTAGGGGGCTCGTCGCCCAGGCACCCTCTTCCTGCACTGGAGACACTCACCTGGTGGCTGATGGCAGTTGCAGCTTCTGACGCAGCCAGCTTGGCCATTGCTGCTTCCTAAACATGGGGACGGTGGGGTCAGAAACTTTACTCTGGGGAGGAGACCCCAGCACATGGCCCTCAGCAGGGGTGGGCCTGGGGAGCCTCCCCCCTGCAGTAATAACCCCACCCCCAGACCCAAGGAACTGGAAGCCCACCCAGACGTGTCCCTCGGCGCACCAAGGCTGTGAGCCATGCCTACATGCCCTAGGGAGACCCCTTCCCCACAGGCACCTTGGTGAAAGGCTGCTTCTTATCCTTCAGCATGGCTGCACGCCAGGTCAGCAGCCGGGCACTCTCCAGCGCCAGGGCCATGTCCGCCAACTTGAACTGCAACAAGCCAGCCCCACCGTGGCAGTCAGTGGCTGCCCCTCCCTCCGAGGACAGGAGGCAGGAGGAGCAGAGAGTGGGAGCCGGTTAAAGCTCACCCGGAGCTGGAAAGAAAGGCCAAGCTGCCCTCCCTCCAGCATCCCGGCTAGGCTCCGCTCCTTACCTGGATACTCTGGAGCTTGGTGAGGGGCGCCCCAAAGGCCCTGCGATTCTCGGCGTAGTTGACAGCACAATCAAGAGCGGCCTGGGCGATGCCCAGAGCCTGTGCGGCAATGCCAATGCGCCCCATGTCCAGGGTTTGCTGTGGGGAAGGCCCTGGTCAGTGGCTGGCCAGCGTGGCCCCACGGCCCGGGCCCCGCTGCCAGGCTCACCATGGCGATCTTGAAGCCCATGCCCGGCTCCCCCAGCAGGCTGTCCTTGGGGATGCGACAGTCCTCAAAGATGAGGTTGGCTGTGGATGAGGCCCGGATACCCAGCTTGTCTTCCTTCTTCCCCAGCGTGAGCCCAGGTGTCGGCATGGGGACCAGGAAGGCACTGATGCCCTGAAACGCCCAGAGGCAGGCAATGAGGTTCTGAGATCGGCTCGGCCACACCCCCTACTCCAGCGCCCCAGGCTCAAACCTGCCCCTAAACGCTCCTCTCTCGGACCTCGCCCCGGGGCGCCCTCTGCTGGCCCCTCGGGGGAAGGCGCGGACTCCCGCTCAGGCACCGCGGGCGGGAGAGGAAGGGGCGGCCCCAAGGTGCGGGACAGCAGGAGCAGCCCAGAGGTCCCACCAGCCCCCTCCCCGGGGTCCCCACCTTGTTCTGCAAGGACCTGTCCGTGCTGGCAAAGACCACGGCGGCGGAAGCCTCCCAGGAATTGGTGATCCAGGCCTTGGTGCCGTTCAGGATCCACGCGTCACCATCTGCTCGGGCAGTGGTGGAGGCGGCTCCCGCGTCGCTGCCGTTCCCTGCCCCACACACAGATTCAGGATCCACTGCCCTCCGCAACCCCCCCTCCAAGGGGACCTGGCCTCGCCCCAGCTCCAGGAGGAAGATCCCTGACCTGGCCTCCAAAGAATCCCAGTGCTGGCTCCCAGGCGAAAGCCACACCAGCCCCCAGAGCTGTGGAAAGGAGCCCAAGGGCGTGAACGTGGGGGAGGGGCACAGCAGGGCATCTGCACACTGAAGGAACCCCAGAGCCAGGCATCCCTCCTGGCCCAGCTGGGGTGACTGTGTCCTCATAGGCCGATTCCACGCAGCCAGAGCTCAGCCCCACTGCCTGCACCGAAGGCCTGTGCCCTTCCCTCTCATGGCCCCGCTCCTGCCTCTGCCCCAGGGGCAACCCAGATCCAACTTGTGTCTATCACCCTGATTCCAGGCAAGGGGACAGGGGCCAACCACTCACTGTCCCACCCTGGTACCTGGTTCACTGAGTGCAAAGCAGCCAATTTTGTCGCCACTGGTAAAAGGGGTGATCCACTGTTGCTTCTGCTCCTTGGAGCCGAACTTCAGGATAGGCCCCAAGTAGAGGGACTATAGGGGTGGGGGCACCAGGGGAAGGTGGTCAGAGGCCTTCAAGTCCAGGTTCACCTGACTGCCTGGGGACCCCACTCCAAGACCTGTTCTCTCCAGGACCCCACCTGAAAGGACCAAGCCCAGAGCTGGTCGGGGGCTGGGGGCCAAAGTGTGGCTGTGCCCAGGATGCCGGGAAGACACAGAGTGCTCACCTGCCCACAGGGAGCCTCCCTCCCACCTGTGTGTCCCAGGGGCCCAGGAGGGGGGACTCACGTTGTTGACACTCATGACGACTCCTGTTGAGGCGCAGCCCCGGCTGATCTCCTCCATGGCAATGGCGTAAGCCAGGTAATCCAGGCCGGCGCCGCTGAACTCCTCAGGCACATCCATGGCCAAAAGCCCAAGCTCACCCATCTTCTTCACCTAGCCAAAGGAAGAAGTCACGGCAAGGGCAGTTGGGGGCCAGTGCTCACCTCCCCCGACTCCAAACCTTCCATCCTGCTCCTGAGCCGGCACCTGCAGAAACTCAGGCCATGTGGCCCCCTCCCCCTCCCCATGATCCCTGATCCACCGCTCCTTTGGTTAAGCCGAAGACCCAGCCTGAGCTGAGATCTGCATGATAGCACTGTGCCCTCAAGCTGTTCTTGCCCCCACATCCCCACTGGCTCACCTGTGTGTCCTCAGCCAGAACCAGTGAGCACGCAGAAGGCACAGGAAAGCTCCCCTTCGGGGGCTTCCCAAGGTAAGGAGCAGGTCAGCACAGTGCCATACTCACCTCTCAGCTCTAGCACATACCCCTGCCTCCCCACCACCAGGCCTTTGCACATGCTGTTTCCGGTCACTAATGCCCTTCAGATCCCAACACAAGCCTCACTTCTTGCAGCTGCTATCTCTGTCCTCAAACCACATGCTCTCTAACATGCAGCTCAGCTGAAGTTCACACCTATTATTCTGCCAATTTGGGTTGGGGTCCTGCTCCTTGACCACAAAGGGGGGAGCTGGTTTTTGCTCACTGCGTTATTCCCGCTGCCTGAAGGCTAAGAGCTTGGAGTTTCTGCTTTGGAACCACAATGACAGTAATGGTCATCCACCAAGTGCCTACTGTGGGCCCAACCCCACCTGAGGCTCTCCGGAGCTCACACACGGGGAGCAATGTGCTCGGGGCCAGCGCTCATGAGCACTGTGGCCAACCGCACCCCGGTAGTGGCTCCAGGGTCTCCTCTGTAAGCCTGCCTTCTGGGGACCAATGCAGACCACACTGGGCTTCGAAAGGAAGCGACTAAAATGGAGGGCCCAGGGCAGCCCGGGTGGCTCAGCGGTTTGGCACCGCCTTCAGCCCAGGGTGTGATCCTGGAGACCCGGGATCGAGTCCCATGTCGGGCTCCCATGTCCTCCCTGCATGGAGCCTGCTTCTCCCTCTGCCTGTGTCTCTGCCTCTCTCTCTCTCTCTCTCTCCTGTGTTTCTCATGAATAAATAAAATCTTTTTTAAAAAATAAATAAATAATAAAATAAAATAAAATGGAGGGCCCAGGGTGAAGGGGGGGGGGTAGGGGAGGAGGAGCAGCATGGCTTTCATGAGTCCCCCCTGTGTCATTCTGATTCCTGTACCCATGTCCTTACCCTATTTTGACTTCAAAGAAGCAAACGTAAGAATGTTTGTGATATTTTCTCATTTTTCTATAATGAATGTTACCTCTGAGATTGTGTTATACTCCCTCTCCAAGTAGCAGCCGTGTCACAGAACCATCGAAGTTTGGAGACAATATGTCCAGAATGCTGAGCACAGCACCAGGCACAAGTGGAGCGATGGGTGAATGCACTCACCGTCCCGAGGTGGCTGACAAGCTGTCACCTGGACAGCTTGGGACGAGGGCCGCTTCCATAATGATGTGCCTTCCCCTCTAGGAAATTCTCACCTGATGCTGCCTTGAACTGTTCCCATGGGAACCCCTCCTGTAAGCCTCTGCACCTGGGGTGGCCTCATGCCCCTCAGCGTCTCCAGAAAGCACAGGGGAGGCAGGGGTGGGGGTGGGCAGACACTTCTTGTCCACCCGAGTGGCACAAACTGCTGAGCCCATAGGCACTGACGGCACTCCACGGCCACCAGGCAGACAAGGGGACCACTGCAGGTGAGATTAAGTTACGGATCAGGAGGTGGGGATCACCCTGGATTATTCACGGGGTCCTGGCAAGGGAGAGAGGTGACGATGGAAGCAGGGGTCCAAGTGACCCAAAGGGGGGCTGGAAGGGGGTCAGGAGCCGGTGCTGGAAGGGCGAGGACACGCACCCTTCTCCAGAGCTGCCAGTGCACTTAGTTCAGCCCAGCGGGACCCAGGTGGATTTCCAACCTTTAGGAACTGTCAGATTGTAACTGGGTGTCATTTTAAGCCACTAGTCTGTGGTCGTTTGTCACAATAGCAAAAAGAAACCAACAGATGGTGATAAAAGGGACTTAGATGGGGCACCTGGGGGGCTTGGTTGGCTGAGCATCCTATTCTTGATTTCGGGGGGGGGTCATGATCTCAGGGTCGCGGGATCGGGCCCCGTGTTGGGCCCGGCGCTGGGCATGGATTCATGGATTCCCCCAACCCCCACCCATCCCCGTCCCCACCACCATGTTCCCTCTCTAAAAAGAAAAAAAGGACTAAGAGGTACTCCAGCTGTGTCATTTTGAGAATCTCTTAAAAAAACAAACATTCTGTGGGGACCATACACCTACAGCCAGAGGACCCGGGCCTGCTCAGTTACTGCACCACTGCAGCAGGCAGGAAGCACCCAGGGTGCAAGAGAGAGGTCTACATTGCACTGCATCTCAATCCATGTGGGGATTCACAGGGCCCTGTGCCAGTACGAGCGCAACCTTAAAACAGAAACAGAAACTGTCAGACCCATACTGTAAGGCAACTTACACACCCAGGCCGGGGGGATCCGGCATTTGGTCAGGGAGTGCAGAGCTGGGTCGGGAGCCAGGGCCACTCTCCACCAGGTGCTGGAAATGCGCAGGTCTCGGCAGGTACCTCGCTGGAAGGCTCTCTCTGGCCTACCAGCCAACTGCCCCATGCTACCAGTGCCACCCAACCTCCTCTTCATCCCAGAGCCCTACAGATTCAGCCCTGGAATAAAGGACAGATTAGTCCAGCACCCCACGACTCCACTTCATCCCAAGAAACAAAAAGGGAACCCAAATTCCTGAGGTGGAGGGGTTGTGGGCAGAATGAGGGGGACCTGCCTTCCTTCTGCAGGTGGGGGAGCTCCCAGAGAGGTGACACTTCGGGCCACCAGGAAGCCAGGGCTCCAGGTGCTCTGCCCTAGCAGGCACCTCCCATGGGCTATCCTGCCAGTTCTCACAAGAGCCGTGACCCGTCTCCCCTCAAGTCTCACCCAGGTCTCGTCCTCCCCGCTACCTGCTCTGTTTGCTTAAAAGGCCTCCAGCTCCAGCACCTTTGAAAATAGCTCCCCTACCCCTGGCCCAGACCAGGGCCTTACACAGTCCAGCTCACCCAATTTCATCAGCGATGCCTGGCTCTGCTGTTTCCAACCTTTCTACTCAGAAACAGGTCACCAGATTGCTGGCAAGATGCTACAGCCAGCCCACAGGAACGTTCCAGGAAAAACACAGAGGCAGAAGCAATGCTGGTGGTGACACACGCTTGCCGAAGCGTGTCCTCTGGGGAAAGATGCGGGCATCAGGGGAGGGAGAGCCAGCATGGACTCACTGGGAAATGACAACTGAAAAGAGAAGGAAACTGGGACAAGATGCGAAGTAGCAAAAACAGGGGTACCTGAGTGGTTGAGTGTCTGCCTTTGACTCAGGTTGTGATCCCAGGGTGCTGGGATCAAGTCCCGCATCAGGCTCCCCGCAGGGAGCCTGCTTCTCCCTCTGCCTATGTCTCTGCCTCTCTCTGTGTCTCTCATGAATAAATAAAATCTTAAAAAAATAGAAAGAAAGAAAGAAAGAAAGAAAGAAAGAAAGAAAGAAAGAAAGAAAGAAAGAAAGAAAGAAAGAAAGAACGTGTGTCTGGCGGTAGAGATGGTTTCTGAGAGCACAGATGGCCGCTGGCCACCAGGCTCCCTGCTGCTCCAGCAGACAGACTTGGGCTTCAGACCCAGCTCCAGGGGAACGTCCTGGAGCTGCTCGCATGGCCACTTGAGGTCCCTTGTGTCCGTGAGCCGGGAACCCAGGATCACATCCCAGAAAGAGGCACTATCACCGACGAGGCCCAGCCCAGCAGTCTCCAAGCTCCCAAGAGAAAATGCGAGAAAAAGTAAGCCCCCAAGCCCCCTTTCCCAGCTGTGACACAGTGAGCCTGCAGCACCAGCAGCCTTCATCTCTGGGAAATGTTTAGCAGGCATTTCATACAGAAACAACACCACAGGGTGCCTTGAGAGCTTACATTTTCACAGAATCAAATTTACCTTGAGTTTGCATTTGCTCAACAGAATCAAAACTAACTTCCTTGAAAGAATCAAAGCTCTTAACTTGCTGGAGTTACCGCTGCTTATTCAAGGGAAAGAAGCCCCATGTGCTGCCTCCTCTGGTGTCCACCGGTGGCTGGTGAGTGCTACATGCTGGGCCACTCCGGACATGCAGGGTCACCTCACCATCCCATTCAATTCAGCAATCATCTGTTGAACCTTGGGCACTTCCTCAGAGCAAGGTGTCATGTGTGGGTGTGAACAGGAAGCTGACTATTCTTGACAGCATGCAGTGACATGCTGAGCACAACGACACAGGTGGTGAACGGGATGCTCCTGGGACACAGATCGACGAACTCGCTTGGGACAAGTGGGAGGGGGCATTCAGGACACATTTCCAGGGTGGAATTAACTAGGGCAGCCCTGGTGGCTCAGTGGTTTAGTGCCGCCTTCAGTCCAGGATGTGAATTTGGAGACCCGGGATCGAGTCCCATGTCAGGCTCCTTGCATGGAGCCTGCTTCTCCCTCTGCCTCTCTCCCTGTGTCTCTCATGAATAAATAAATAAAATATTTTTTTTAAAAAAAAGGAATTAACTAGACTCAGTGGATAAGAGGAAGAAGAAAACGGGGTATGGTTCTAGAAGTTTCTATGTGGCTAACTAGGTCAGCAAAGCAGCATCACCAACCAGAGAGAGGACATGAGGAAGAAGAGCAGGTCTCGAACCTGGGCTGGTAAAGTTATTCAATAAACAGTCACTGAGTGAAGGAGAAGAAATGGGACTGTTTTTTGCTTTGTTTTGAAAGTAGGCTCCACACCCAACGTGCGGCTTGAACTCACGACCCTGAGATGAAGAGTCGCATGCTCTACCAACTGAGCCAGCTGGCCGGGGGACTGTTTTAGACAATAAATATACAGCCCCCACATGCTGGAAGCCTGGTGAGTCCATAATCAGTTGAAACACCATTTTACATCTTATTTCCCTTTATAATAAAAGAACATTGTAAATTTTTCTTTCTTTCTCTCTCGTTTCTTTTTGGTTTTGGATACAGGAAAATTGAAGCTCAATTTAAGTTCCCAAACCAGCCAAGCAAACAGAAACTGGCACTAGCCCTTCCACCTAATTCTTGGCCCGCCTCCCTCAATTCTTTTCCCCTTGAACCTTCCCCCATAAACCCACTTTTTTGGGGGGTGGGCAAAAAATTCTTCAGGAAAAAAAATATTAGAAATTACTAAGCACTCACTGTAAGCCAGGGTGGGGCTCAGGAGTCTACCTGGCCCCTCCCACTCCACCTGTGTGGCTGTTAAGCAAGAAACTTAACCTCTTCATCTAAAAACTGAAAAGAATTTAAGTAACTACCTCAGAGTGTTGTGTGGAAAATGTGACATATAAGCAACTGGAAGACAGTAACCCCCAAATGACAGTCATCCCTGTTCTTATCCCCATTTTATTTGGAAACATTAGTTGATACTATTATTTTGAATTTCACAACCTGCATATAATGTGTACATCTACTTCTCTGATCTCTCTGCCCATGTAAGCCCTGGATTCCCTTCTAGACCTGGGAACAGAGCACCCTCCAGAGTAACAGAGCCAGGGATAGACGCGCAGATCCAGCGGGCTTCAATCTTGGGAATCTTCAAGGGAAGCAAGCCTTGATTAACCTCCGTACCCCATTAGCCACCCGGACAAGAGTCCCGTTCATGTGGGGTGGTGGCAAGATCAGAAGATGCAGCACAAATTCTCCCTAACTCTACAGCCCCAAGGGCAATTCAGTGACTGAAAAACAAAAGCAGTACTCGGGATACTGAATGACATCACAGATGTGAAAACACCTGCCAGCGTAACCCCAGACAGAGATGCTATGGGGACTCTGAGCTATGGCCCTGAATTCGGCGAGTCCTCCTGAGCCAGCCCTCCTGCCACGGCCATGGGCCTCCTCTCTCCATACCTCATCTGCCACGATTCCGGAGGGGTGGCTTGCAAATCCCCTGGCCCCATGAAACACAGGAGGAGATTATAGAGCAGGAGGACTAGTTCAGAGGAGCTTGGGGAAAAGTCTGTTCCTACTGCCAGCTGTCTTGCCCAGAGTAAATCTGTGTCTGTCATATTAGTAAGATTTTGAGGGAATATAGGAATAACAGGAAAAGCAAATCATGCCATCTGTCTTCCGGCAGGAGAAGCCCCAGCACACAGCCACATCTCAAGAAAACTGTTCTGAGGGGAGCACCTCTAAACTCTTCCTGCCCTTTGCTTATTTACAACCTATCTCCTCAAAGAGAGGAGTTTGTTCACATCTACATGAATGGTACTGAAAGCTGAAGGGAGAGTGCCAGATGAGGTCCCTGAGAGCAGTGCATGTGGGTGCGGAGGGCAGAAGGGTAGTTTAGGTCCTCAACGGCAATATTCCCAACCAGAACAGGGCTTCCTTGCTTGCCAGCTGGGCTCCAAGAACAACAGCGTGGAGGGTGGAAGGAGAAGGGATCTGGAGCCAGCCAGACTTGGGACATGAATTCTAGTGCACAGATCAGTACTCCTGGAAAATCACTTAACCTCTCTCTGCATCAAATTTCTTGACTGTAATAAAAATGACACCGGTGTTGATAACTATCATTTCTCCAGGACAAGGAGGCACCAGAATTTTTTTTTAAGATTTTATTTATTTATTTATTCATGAAAGACACACAGAGAGAGAGAGAAAGAGAGAGAGAGGCAAAGACATAGGCAGAGGGAGAAGCAGGCTCCATGCAGGGAGCCCCATGTGGGACTCGATCCAGAGTCTCCAGGATTACGTCCTGGGCTGAAGGTGGCGCTAAACCCCTGAGCCACCAGGGCTGCCCAAGGCTCCAGAATTTGACATATATTACCTTACCTAAATCTTGCAAGCATTCTAGAAGCAAAATGGGGATCAGATTTGCAGGTGAAGATGTCCTCAGGGCTAGAAGGGCTGACAAGTGGCAAATAACACCTGAAAGATACCCAACAAATTTCCATGCCCAGAGCGCCACTCACCCACTTCATCTTGAGTTCCCTGCATATTGCCACAGCCCAGGCACAGTACCCAAGATGCTGTGAACAGCACAGTATTTTCTAAGCTGGAAAAGTAGCCCCAGAGCTCAGGAGATATGAAATGGCAACCAGAACGCTTGACTTCCTTAGGATGAAAAACAGGTTAGGAAAAGAAGCCAGAAAGGTTTACTCTTCCACAAGTTCTCTACTGAACAAATAATCTATTGGATATTTATACCATGTGCCACAGGGCTTGCCAGACCCCAAGGATAGAGCAGGAACATCTTAAACATGAAATTACAGGGTGCCTGGGTGCCTCAGTCAGTTAAGCATCGGCCTTTGGCTAGGGTCATGATCCTGGAATTCTGGGACCAAGCCCCTCATTGGGGATCTCTGCTCATCTGGGAGCCTGCTTCTCCCTCTTCCTCTGCCCCTCCCCCCTGCTCATGCACTCACACTCTCACACTCCCTTCCTCAAATAATTAGAATCTTTTTTTTAAAATTATTATTATAAATAAATAAATAAATAAATAAATAAATAACCATGAAATTACAGATGTCAGCTGATGTCAAGAGATGAACACACAGGCTCAGGAAAGAAAGAGCATACTCACTGGGACCTCAGGGTCCAGCAGAAGAGCTGGGCCCCAGCCCTCACTCTGCAACTCATTAGCTCCATGACCTGGGTCATATTATTTAACTCCCCCTAGTCAATGTGAGTTTACCAACTATACAAAAGGGTCTAGAATCCTAGTACCCTCACCTCCCAGGTTTTTTTTTTTTTTTTTAAAGAATGCATTTTATTTGTTACTTCTTTTTCTTTTAATTTATTTATTTATGATAGTCACAGAGAGAGAGAGAGGGAGGCAGAGACATAGGCAGAGGGAGAAGCAGGCTCCATGCACCGGGAGTCCGATATGGGATTCGATCCCGGGTCTCCAGGATCGCGCCCTGAGCCAAAGGCAGGCGCCAAACCGCTGCACCACCCAGGGATCCCACCTCCCAGGTTTACTGTGAGATGCAGATGGCCTCGCACACGGTAAGCATCCTGCAAGCACTGACTATAACTACTAGCACAATGCCTGGCCTGCAGGAAGCATGACACCCATCCACGACTGTTACTGTTATTCTAGGAGTTAAATCTGCATGATAGGCCTCATGCTGGATGAAAGATACCTCCAGAGCATTTTCTGGGTTCCAGAACCTGCCCGGGAGTTCCTGGTTCGGAATCTCAGTACCTCTAGCCAGAGGTCACTGCACTGACCACTGCACTGGTCACTATCACTGCATATCCAGAAGCAGCTGGCAGACCACTATCGGGGGCTGCTGAAGTTGGAACTCTCACCTGGGCCTTCGGGAAGCGATGCTCCTTGTCTACCTGGGCTGCGATGGGAACCAGCTCCTTTTCAGCAAATTCCCGGCATGTCTGACGCAGCATCTGGTGTGTCTCAGACAGTTCCACAGACTGGTAGACAGTATGGAACCGACGCCAGTCCCAAGGACGCAGAGCTGCCCGCAAGAACAGGTGTTAGAGGAAGGTGAATGCAGGTCCTGCTGCATGATCACCATCATAACAGACTGAGCGGGCCTTCCCCAGGCATGATCGGAAACATTTCCAGTTGTTGCTATGGAGTGAATAGAGGCCAGGAATACTGCCTAACACTCTACAATGTCCAGGACAGACTCCACAACAAAGAATTTTTGGCCCAAAATGCCAACAGCACTGCTGTTTAGAAACCCACCAACTGAATGCTTACTCCACTTGCTGTACACTTTGCACACAAATATCCCACTCAATCTTCAGTATAACACCAATCATATTAAGACCACAGTTTTGCCCCGTAGGCAGGGATCTTAAGATCACTGAGCCTCCGTTCCTAGAAAATGTGGAGGCCAGCAGTATTCAACTCCTTAGGGTTCGAGGGTTAAAGAGATGCTGACTGCGCACTCAGCACAGGGCCTCGCAGAGGCTGAGACAACCCTCCGTGGGGGTCCCCCTACCGCTACGAGTCCTGCAGGCAAAGGAAGCCCTGGCCACATGTGTCACTGCTGCTACAGTGGGAGAGAAGAAAGCTGGAAAAGTGCAATATGAAATCATCCACAAGCCCTAACATTCACTGAGCGCCATATGACAGGCGCCGCGGAGTGTTTCACACAGCCTGCGATCTCATCCCGGGGACTCCGTGAGGATAGGGACACGTCGCTGGGGCCACTTTACACACAGGCCAAATGAGGCCGACCGGCCGAGCGTCCCGCCCAAGGTCAGGGACCCTGAGTCCGGGTTCAGCTCCAGGCCTGGCTCGGGAGGAGGGGCGCCCCAAGTCCTCAGCAGGCCGGTGCTGAGCGGAGGGCGGGGATCCGGGCGGGACCCGGGGACGCGCACGCGGCAGCAGCGGCCCAACTGGGCCAAAGGCCGCGCGCGTGCCGGGAGGGGGTGCAGCCGGCCCCCGGCGGCGCCGCAGGGGAGGGCCCGGCCGCCGGGACTCGCGCCCGCTGGCCGGCCCGGGCCGCCGCCCCGCTGTGCGGAAGCGGGAGCGCACTCACCTCGGCGGCTGGGGCCCCAGGCCCGAGCGAGCAGCGCGGCGGCCATGGAGGCAGACAAGGCGCGGGGCTTCTTGCTGACCTCGGGCGGTGAGCGCACGGGTTCCGGGCCGGGGGCGGGGCGTGGGCGGGGCGTGGGCGGGGCGTGGGCGGGGCGTGGGCGGGGCGTGGGCGGGGCGTGGGCGGGGCGTGGGCGGGGCCGGGGCGGCCCTCGGGCCCTCTAGCCCGGGGGGCCGGCTCCGCCCCGGCCCCGCCTCCCTGCCGGGAGCGCGGGCTAACGCTCTCTGTTCGCCGTGTCTCCGCGGTCGGTTCTCAAACCCTCGGACCGTGGCCCGTCTCGCCTGAAGTCCAGTCCCGCGGCCGAAAATGCTCCCTAGGACCAACCGGCGGCTACCTCTCCCCCCCCCGGTGCCTACCGTGCCCTCGCGGCTCCGGCCGCGCGAGGAGGCCCCAACACCCCGGCTTGTTCCTGCCTCTGCGATTTCGCAGTCCCTGTTCCTCTACCTAGAATGCCCCCCCCCCGCCCCAGGTCTCACACTGAGGCCTGCCCTGCCCTGCCCCACACATTCTTTATTCCTGGCACTCGGCATCTGACATTTTCTCCACTCCTCTCTTTGATCTGTGAGCTCCGAAAGGTACAAGGGTCTTGTCTTGCTCTGTTGCTCAGTTTTCAGGCCCAGGGAATTGGGTTGCCTGGGAGGGAGATCTGTTCCTCCAGAAGCTGTCCCCGCCCCCCCACCCCCACCCCCCGTATTCCACTGTAGTCCCATCTGTCTCACCCCCAGTTGTGGGGCAGGGCCCCCAATGCCATGCATTTGGTCCTAAGCTTCCTTGTTAGGACATCACCCTCCCCAGGAAACTGGCGATTCCACTGCCCTGACCAGGGTCTTCCCTCAGAACAAGCAGGAGTCAGACTTCCACAACTTTCCAGGGCCCCACACATCCCTCTATCCCTAACTAAACCGCTGTAACTCAGCCAGGCTTGCATCCCCAGCACTGACGCACATGCCAAAATTTGTCTTCCACCAAGACCTTGGTCTCCTTCCCAGAGATCAATGAAAAGATGCAGCAGGATCCTTGTTACCTCTCATCTAAAAGAGAGCCTCTACATCCTCAGTACTTGAAACCCGAACAAGTGGTTGTGGTTGGCCAATGTTCCCGGGCCTTCCTTAACCTTTCCACTGCCCACCTGGGTGCCAGCCCTGGGGGAAAGAAGAAAGGAAAAAAGCAGGGGAGGGGGATATCGGTGAGCAGGCACGGGCCAATGATTGCTTTGGCTGCCACAGACCATCTCAACCAGACTTAAAAATTCTATTGTACGGTCGCCTTAAGGAGGTTAGTGTTATATTAAAAGTAGACCAATTTCCCTGTTGGAGACAGAAACCATTCAAGGGTTTCAAGGGAACTGGTCTTTGCCAGCACCAAGAAGCTGAGGGAACTCTGGAGGGGGTGGGGGAGGCAGAGGCCCAGTACCAGGACTGTGACAGGGTAATAAAGCTGTCTGCTCATCCAGGTGAATTCCACCACAGTTGAGGCACACCTCAGGAGCTCTGATGTTAAAATACTACAAAAATTTTTAATTTGCAAAGCCTCCCAGCAAAACAAAGCAAAAATATTAAACCTTAGAGCCCAATACTGTCCCCTGCTCACCCTAAAAACCAGCTATACTCATTACCTAGAGAAAGGTAAAGAAACTCAGAGCCAGGACGCCTGGGTGGCTCAGGGGTCTGCCTTCGGCTCAGGGCGTCATCCCGGGGTCCTGGGATCGAGTCCCAAATCGGGCTCCCCATGGGGCATACTTCTTCTTCTGCCTGTGTCTCTGCCTCTGTGTGCCTCTCATGAATGAGTGAATGAAAATGAAAAAAAAAAAAAAAAAGAAACTTGGAGCCCACCCCTGCTCCCCCCAGCAACCCACGGGGCCCAGTCCGGGGACAAGAGGGGACACATGTACTGTGAAAAATCTTTTATTACTGTCTCTTGTGGCAAAATAACATTTTATACAAATAAGTCACCTAGTTTACTTTGGACACAAAGACAATACAAACTGGAATGAGGATCTTAGGTGAAAGGGAAAGAGGACTTTGGAAGAACAAATCAGGTCATTGACGTTTCTTATATTCTGTGAAAAAATAGATTTACAGGGGAAAAAATAGACTTTCACAACTTCAATGACTTTACATGATCCTTTTTAAAACAAGGGGTAAATTCGCCTCCACCACACCCTTCTTGTGGTGAAGATATTCTGTAACGTGGAATGTGAGGAAATGAACTGACGATCAGGCTCTTGCACTAGGTACACCAGCACCTCTGCATCAGAAATCCTTGTGTCCTGGCAAGAACTCTATGCTGTGGTTCTGGGGACAAACTGTCTCCAGTCCCCAAACCTCACAGCTATCATGGTGACAACAGCCACCAAAAGAAAGTGACTTGACAGAGGGAAAAAAAAAATACTCTGGGAGCCTACTGGGCGTGGCAGGACACACACTAAGGCAAGACTCGCCCAACTTGCCCATTACACACAGCCTAGTGAATCCACTCCAGAAATGAAATCCACTTCACCTGGAAAAACCAGGTCAACAATTCCCGGTCACTGCCATTTCAAGAATCGCCAGTCCATGGTTAGCCCCAACTTCCCTTCAATCACTGCCCCCATCTGAGAATCAGATGGCCCAAAGGCTGAAGGTGTCTTCAGGGAGTTCTGCATGCCTCTGCAAACTGCTTTCTCTGCAAGGTATCTTTGAGCCAACACTTACAGAGAGGGCGGCCTACTTTAGCCTATGACTACTTTTACTGGTTATTTCTTCTGTTTGCTCTGTTGGACAGAACGAAATCAACAGGCATCTATCTTCTTTGGATAAGCAAGAAGGACACTTTAGCCCAAAGGCTACACAGGAAGAGAGAGCTGCTCTTCCTGGAGATTCCAAGGCAGAAGGACAGAAGCAGTACAGGAGAGGAAGAGGCGCAGGCATCAGGCCCTGTGGCACCGGTGGGCCTGCCAGTCTGCTGGAATGTGCTCGTGTCCCTCCAGGAGCTGCCACTTAGATGCTGGCTCTGAACAGTAGGCGGGCTCTCCTGCGCAGGTCATTTTTTTCCCTCCCACTGTAGCACCCCCAAGACAACTGCTATCACAGTCCAGATTCCTTAATAACACGGCCTCCCGATTCAACTTCTGATTGCTTCAGCTACTTTCAGAGAAAGCAGGACCTTCCAATTCTCTCCCCAGTTCAGGTACAAAAGCTTGAATTCCAAATACACCCTGGTTAACACCCCAGAGTGATAATGCTTCTCAAGATTTCCTGAGTATAGAGATGCAAGAATCCAGACTCCCAGGTACAGAAAACCAGACAGACTTTCTGGAGCAGATAGCATAGCCCTGTCCTCCTGGGCACATATTGAGCACACGGCCTCAAGTGGTCTCCAATGAGACTAAGGCAAGCTAAGGGGGAAGAGAATACAGCACTATTCAAGCCAGAATGTCTGCCACCCCTACCCTCCCACCTAGCAAAGGCTAACACTGCATATTAGAAGAGACAGCCCACTAGTCCATAAGATGTGGCTGCCCTGGGACACATTCCAAGACACACTCTATTGAGCAGAACTCAACAGTTCCAGAAACCACATCCTAGATAATAATATCAAATAGTTGAAAATCTCCCAGTTATGCTGCTGTCCCATAGAGAAACAGTGATTCTGAGGCTTGATATGCACACACAAATATGCCAGAGGGGCCACGAGGAGAAACAGAGGGTCAGGAGGCAGTGCTGATGTCTGTCCACAGATGAGGAGGGAAGGATGGCAATGCAGCTTTCCCCAGCAGCACGTGGGACAGAGCCACACATAAGGCACCTGGATTTGTAGTTGACTCCAGTTCTGAGATTCACTTGGTCTGGTGATGAGTAACTCATCTGTAGGGTGCCTGGTCTCTTCCCTCCCTCAGTGGTTGCATCCGTGCCAGCACAGAGGAGGAAGAGTTTTCCCAGTGAGAAAGCTGCCAGCATCTGGCAGAGCCCAAACTCTGGCCTGGCACAGAGCACTGGGCCAAGGTTCAAGGCCACTCACACTCTAGAGTCCAAATAGGGAGCAATACTGATTAGCAAAGGTGCAGGGGGCTTCTGTGGTAGAGTGCTGGCCCTTCCAGCCTGGGCCCTGTGGGGCCTTTGTCCCAAGCATCTTGGGAGACTGCTCTCCTTCAGTTACTATGATGCTTCAGTGACTATTCCCGCATACCCGGGCCCTTCCTCCTGCTCCCTTTCGATCAGTGCTAAACCCTGGCCACAGCAACAATCCTATCAGAGGGTCAGCCATGGCCAGTTAGACAACTGGCCAGAGCTGAGGAAGTGACAGGCTATCCAGTGAGAGCCTGAGGATGAAAGTAGCCCCCAAGCATGTGCAGGGAAGGTTATCTGAAAACACCTTTCAAGAGCCACCTCAGCCTAGTTCATTCATCTTTTCCAAACACCTGAAAGCATTCCAACTAGCAGTATGAAGGATCAGAATATGCATAACAGGTCTGACCCCCCAGGATGGTTCCAGAAACTACTTCAGAGAAAGGCAGACAGGAAAATCCTCCTAAATAAGAAATCTACAAAGAGTTTTAGAGGCAAATCCCCATCAAAAGCCAATCCTGCAGGCTCTCCTGTGTAGAGAAAATCAAATCCCTCCTTTAAGTAGCTGCTGATTTGTAACTATACCCGGCCCCAACATGAGCCAGATTAGCCCCAGGAGCCTGTTTAATACTATCAGAAGTCTAACCACCATCACATATGCTGGGTACACCACTGACATCTTATAAAACCTCCCTGAAAGAAGACTAGAGAAAAAAAAAAAAAAAAAAAAAAATACGAAGCCTGCTATGGCCTCAAGAGATCCTACTGTTCCAAGAACACAAAAACTGATAGTCTATTTCAGGAGATACTCAAAAGTCAGGAGTCAGGACAAGCAGAGCAAGCTCATCTTTCCTCCAAAATGGGATCAGGAAGGCACTGCCAGGCTGAAACCTTGCTGTATCCCCAGGAGGGCTGGCAGAGGATCCTGGAAGTCAGGCAGAGAAGCTGGCCTCTCCATGACATGCAGCCCTACTGGCCCCCAGTGCCTCCCCGCCTTGGCACCCCTCCATCATCCCCTTTCTTTCCAGTTGCTTTAGAACTACACACAAACTGAGGTCAGACTATGCTGAGAACAACACTGTGAGAGGAGGAATCGCCTAGAAGAGGCCTACCTTTCAGTTTCTCACAGTGCCCAGGAAGCCAGGGAGAAGCAGCTGACCTGCAAACTGACCAGCCAGAGCCTCCTCAGCCCAACATGGCTGTGCCTGCAGAGACCCAGGCATCTAGGACTTCAGGAAAATAAACTTTCTTTTTCTTCTGGACTCCAAGAGCCTTACCCTAATCCTTCACTTTACTCTAGTACCTCTGTGACCTACAGGGCAGGGAAAAGGGAAGAAAAAATACTGGGGAAGAAAACACAGCACTGCTTGGCACCTCTCTTGAGCACAGGAAACTACCACGCCAGCCTTGGCTTCCTAGGACCAGGTTCTAGATGTGTGTTGACCAACAGGTTCAACCATTTCCATGTGCCAGGGCCTTGGGCCACAGCAAAGCAGCTCCCCGTCCATGCCCGCAGCAGTCACTGGCCTCCATTATAGGCATAATCAGCCTTGTTGTGCATTATCAGCTTGTTGTCAACAAAGTAGAAGCTGTCGGAACGGGTCTCATAGGGATTTTCAATCATCAGACGAACTGCAAGTCAGAGAAACAGAAACAGCAAAGACTTATGTGAGTCTGCCCCACTGGCCAGGTGGGAAAAAAACATATATGCCCTCTGTAATTCGAGAACATATGAGTATACTCTGTCAGAACAATGAGGTCAGAACAGAGGCAGCCAGGCTTGGAGAGAACTACAGAGGCCCCCAAATTAAACACGATACCCACTTCAATATAAGGATGCAATCAACTGACATGGCACTTCTTGTGCATCTCCAGCCTGGACGCTTACTCAGAACCCCAGGGAAACAGGATTATGCCTTTGCCAACGTGGACCACCGCACTGTTTTTTCAGGACTTCTGGTCTGTTCCCCACTTCTAGACTCCAGTCCAAATTCCAAAAGCTGTGCCTCCCTGTGCCCACTTCCCATGGGCACCCCTGACAACCAAAGGAACCAGAGGTGTGCATGAGTGTGTGTGGCGGGGGAAAGAGCAAGGAAACTTTTCCATGGATGACTCAGGGTATTAAGTCGCAAATGATCCAGCAAAAATGGTCTGCTTGTCTTGGGATCCAGATTTAAATCTTCTGTTTGTTCAAGCAATTGCCCAGACCTCTTTCGCCATACTAAAGAGTAAAGATAATTAACAGTCAATACCTCTGATCAATTTGGAGTTAATGATCACATGCTATTTTGGTTCCTCTAGAGGCAACATGCTTGTTTACCACAGTTCTCAAAAGATGAAACGGATTATTTAAAGTCCTTTGAACCTACTTAGGCCAAAGTTACTTGGTTTTATCCAGAATATTGACCTCCACACTCTTTCAGCTTATTTAGTTTCAAGAAGAAAAGTTCTATTGCCTTGGGTAAGAACTTGAAATACTACACATAATCTTTTCTTGCAAGTACCTATATATTCTGGCCCAGCGGGGGAGCAGACCTCAAAACAGGATCAGATGCTATCATAAATAGCCTAATCCACATCAGCAATCCTCATATTACCTGGAAACAGCACTGTCAACATGGGTGGAGAATATTCTGGTTTTCGGAATGTAACAGTTTTAAATACCTGGGATTCTGAGAATATCAATCAGTATATGTAGAACTTTTCTACAACTCAGTCAAACTCCCCCCACTCATATTCACAGTTCACAGGATCCCCACTCCTATTCTCATTGTTCTGGAGCCATTTTCCCTGATTACTAACAGAGAATGCTAACCCCAGAGAGTTCCACCAGAGTCACAGGAACTGATAAAGCCTGATCTTTCTCTCGATGAGTGCATCTCTTCCCCTGCTTCTCCCTCAGGTGCCTCCCCAGTTTTTCCTCCAGAGAACTATAGGATTACTGTTTCTAAGACATGGCTTCCATCCAACCATGTGATGGCTCCCTATTTCCTGTGGATCTATTCTAACAGCACAGAATGAGAAAGATCTCTGATTCTAGTTAGCCCCCAGCTTCACTTTTCCCTCTAAGGAGAAAGTAGTGGGTGAACAAGGAGTGCTGGGCAGGAGCCAATGACTAGAACACAGTGGAAAACAAAGCCTAAGAGTGGCTCAGAGAGGAGCTCCAGCTAACTCTAGGCCCAGGAATTGTCATGGGCCTCCCCTCATCTCCCTCAGTCACCCCCTTTCCTGCAGCTTAAAGCGGATGGCCTGCATTATTAAAACCTTCAATGCTCTCATACAGGCAGAGTTTGAAACCCTAGACAGTGGCGCTAGGAAATGAGAAGCCTCAAGTCAAATGCCTAGAGAGGTGGTGTCCTGTCACTACCTCCCTCCTCTGCCAAACGAGGGTGTTGGACCAGATGGACTCCAAGGTTTGTTCCTTCTAGCCCTAAGAATCTAGAATGGTATAGAAGTCAGGGGATACATACTGACATCCTCAGAAAGCTGGGGAAACTCATAGATATGTTCACAAGTGTTCCTACTGCTGGGGATGCAGAAGCCAAAATCGAAGTCAAAGTTTTTCAGCAAGCGTTCCCGGAAATAGTGCCGCTCGATCATCCGGAAGTTTGACACAGGTTTGTCTCCCACCGTGAACTCCACTCTGCAAAACAAAGCTCTGTGAGTCCAACTTTGCCTCCTCCCTCCTCTAAAGCCAACCCAGAACACAACCGAGAATATTCTTTGTGGACAAGCAAGTGTTCTCCTCTCTAGAAATACTGGTACTCACGTGGCCCCGACTGTCCGGAGGCGGAGAAATGCTGGTGTGAACTGATAGCGGACAAAACGTCCTGCACTGATATCCACATCTCCACCTTCGTCGTCGTCCTCCTCCTCTTGGTCTGAAAGAACACACAGAATCTTGAGTGTACTGTCTTGGCCCCACCAGTCCAAACAGCACAACCAATTAACTATACTAACACCCATGGCAGGATGGCCAATATTGACTGCGCACTCACTACATGCCAGGCTTTGGGCTAATCACTTCCCAGAATCCTCAGAGCGACCCTATAGGGTGTCACCATCATCTCCATGTTACAGATCAGGATGCAAAAGCTCAGAGACGTTAAGTCACATGTCCAAGTCCCCCAAATAGTAAACAGAGGGAGCAGAGATTTGAACCAGGTCCATCTGACTCGAAGCTTATTCTCAAACACTAAGTTAATTGCCTTTTATGTGGTCTAGGGGTGTGGGCATATCCTAAGAGCGAAGCCTGAAACACAAGCCTGGTACTAGGCTCCTGGCGATGAGGTTGCAGCATTAGCCAGCAACCAGAAGAATGAGAATACAAAGGTTGAAAACTAGTCAAAAGGCAAGTTCAAAGAATGCAAAAATTTCTGAGGCAGCAAAGACAAACCCCTGAGAATAATCTTGTTATTTAAACTCCTGGGCAGCCCCAGTGGCCCAAAAGTTTAGCGTTGCCTTCAGCCTGGGATGTGATCCTGGAGACCCGGGATCAAGTCCCACGTCCGGCTCCTTGCATGGAGCCTGCTTCTCCCCCTGCCTGTGTCTCTGCCTCTCTTTGTCTCTCGTGAATAAATAAATAAAATCTTAAAAAAAAAATTTAAACTCCTACTGTTTTAGGGTACCGTAATGCCTATTCCAGGCCACCTGGAAACAGTGAGGTAGATGGGCAATGGACCAAAGTGCAGGACCTGAATGAGGGCGAGTCTAGTCTATTCCTGAACCCAGAGAGTGGAAGTTTGTAAAATTCAGAGAACCATTCTAATGTGAAAAAGGAGATAGTTCCTAGTAGCTACCCAGTGTCCAGCAAAAATATTTTCTCCAGATATAGGCTAAATGTGGGTGTGACTTACATCTCTTTTAGCCCCAAACCTCTCTGCCTATGACAACCCCAAGATAATATGGGCAATCAGACTGAGCAGGGTTTCAGAGCCAGCCACTCTAGAGCCCTCACTCCAACAATGTGATTCAGAGAGTATCAGACCAAATCTTCTCAAGGATTCAAATTCAGCAGAACAAGTGCTGCAGGAGGGTGCTGATTCAGTGGAGCATATTCTAAGCCAATCAAGATCCTTAAAGATAAAGCCTGGAGAAGTTGTACATCAAGGTACTTTTACAAGATCTGCAGCCAAGCTTCTTGATACAGTTCAATTTTGTACTGAAATGACTATTATAGGCCCAGCCTAATCCAAACCCACATATCTGAAGCAGCCCTGGGGTCCTCAAAACACCCAAAGTACCGGGACATGTTGCTTAGGGATTTGAATCCCACAGACCCAGGAGGCTATCTGGCCCTGATCCTCCCAATACCAGCTAAGTACCCACAAGTTGGAGCCATTAGGTGCCTTGGCAGCACTAAACTATGAGAGCATAAAGGATACCAGGTGGGGTGAGAAGACCAGGGCTCCAGTCTTGGCTGTACAATGAACCTGAGCTGAGACCTTCTCAGGAAAGCTTTTACCTACCCGGGGTACTAATACCTGCCTTATCAAATTTACAGGTTCCTTCTTTTTATTTTTTAAGATTTTATTTATTTAATCATGAGAGACACAGAGACAGAAGCAGAGGGAGAAGCAGGCTCCATGCAAGGAGCCCATCACAGGACTCGATCCCAGGTCTCCAGGATCACACCCCAGGCCAAAGGTGGCGCTAAACTGCTGAGGCACCCGGGCTGCCTTTACAGGTTCCTTCTGAGCAGCAAATCAAGATGGGAAGAGCTTTGCAAAAAGAATTACTATTAAAGAACATGGTGGGGATCCCTGGGTGGCGCAGCGGTTTGGCGCCTGCCTTTGGCCCAGGGCGCGATCCTGGAGACCCGGGATCGAATCCCACGTCGGGCTCCCGGTGTTTGGAGCCTGCTTCTCCCTCTGCCTGTGTCTCTGCCTCTCTCTCTCTCTCACTGTGTGACTATCATAAATAAAAAAAAAAAAAAAAAAAAGAACATGGTGAATACTCTAGTCGTCTGTGCTGGTAGTCTACCAAATAACGCCAGGGGGCGCTCTGTCTCTGGTGCTGAGCTCCAAGACTCACTTGTGGTCTCCTACCCAGGAGTGAGTCACCCAGGGGCTGCATCACAAGCACCGGAAGCACCTATTCAAAGCTAATTTAAGGAATCCTAAGTAGTTCATAGGTCTGGGCTTTCTGTTCATCCCACAAATGGCAAAGATTAAAATCCAAACTGGGACTTACAGGGAAATATGAGGCACTGTTTAAAGGGAAGTGAGGGAGAAGAAAAGGGGGCTTTCATCCTTCTACTTTAATTCTAAAGCTTCCTTTCCTGAGTGGAGGCAACATAAGAAGGAGAATAGGACCTTAGGAAAGTCAATTGGAAATTCTGGGCCTCAGTTTTCTCATCTGAAAAATGGGAGTAAAGCTCCTCACAGAAATGTTGAGGATTAGATGACCGGATGCCAACAGAAACATGTGTACAAACAACATATGGTAGACACTCAACAAACGTGCTTCGGATCAGCACACCCAGCTTGCCAGGCTCCAGGAGGAGGTACAAAAGTGGGCATGCTGGAGTCCGGGCCGCAGGATGTGATGGTACACACAAATGAGCTTCAGAGATCTTCTCAAGTGGCTGCTACAATACTGAGGCCTACCTGAAACACAAGGTTTGGCAATCTCAAAGAGCACTGTCCCTGTCTCCAAGTCTCGGATTTTGAAGCGAGTGAAATCAATACTGTAGATGTTATCTTCGGGTTTACATAAATAATCTGAAAAATGAGAGAGACACACACACAAATGCTATTAAACAATCCTCCAAAACATTTCTTTCTTTCTGAAGTTTTAAAGCAAACGCAGGGGTTTTTTCTTACACGATTTACTTAAAAAAGACCCCAAAACTTCCTCTTAAAAGCAAAAGTTGTGTGAAGCAAATAAGGGGATGGAAGAAAGAAAAAAAGTGCATGGATTTGGTTTGGATGAAAGATTATCATAACACTTTTAGAAACAGGAATAATGTAAGGGGCTTCCTTTGGAAATACCCCCAAAATGGCCTATATAACTTCCATGATCTATTAACTGGGATGTCACAACAGGACAGAATTTTTTTTTTTATATAAATCCATTTTAAAACATTTATGCTGGGCAGTCCTGGTGGCTCAGCGGTTTAGTGCCACCTTCAGCCCAGGGCCTGTTCCTGGAGATCCAGATCAAGTCCCACGTCGGGCTCCCTGCATGGAGCCTGCTTCTCCCTCTGCCTGTGTCTCTGTCTCTCATGAATAAATAAATAAAATCTTTTAAAAATATAAATAAATAGGGGATCCCTGGGTGGCTCAATGGTTTAGCGCCTGCCTTCAGCCCAGGGCGTGATCCTGGAGTCCCAGGATCAAGTCCCACATCAGGCTCCCTGCATGGAGCCTGCTTCTCTCTCTGCCTGTGTCTCTGCCTCTCTGTGTGTGTTTCTCATGAAAAAATAAATAAAATCTTTTTAAAAATTATTAAAATATATATATAAATAAATAAAATAAAATAAAACATTTATGCTGATCTAAAGGCTAATATATTGCTTGTTTGCCAGCCATGAGTATTGTACAGCAGAGATCAGCAAATGTTTTCTGTAAAGGGCCACATCATAAATAATTTAGATGTTGGGGCCACACAGTCTGTCACACTGCTCAACTCTGTTACTGTAGCAAAAGCAGCCACAGACAACCTGTAAATAAATGAGTATGGCTATAGTTCAATAAGACAATTTACAGACACTGAAATATGAACTGCATATAACCATGTGTAGCAGGATTTTTTTTCCCCAACTTTTTATTTTTTTTTATTTTTTTCCCCAACTTTTTAAAAATGTAAAAATCATTCTTAGTTTGTGGACTGAACAAAATCAGGCAGTAGGCCATACCTGCAGAGGTGACAGGGCAGAACTGCTGAGAGGGCACTGGGCCAAAGGGAAGTGGAAGCCATGACAACCTGAGCAGTTAGTCAATCTAGTACTGATCACAGAAAACCTCCCTGATTTCTTTCTACGATGACTCCTGACAGCATCTTCTCCACAACTCACTTGAGCACTTTTTCTTACACTGGCTGCTTGTGTTAGTTGTTCCATGTTTTTCACAAGCTGTCTCTCCAGTAATATGGCAAACTTGAGAGCTGCTGATTACTTTGTAAATCCTCAAAAGACTGAGAATGGGTTCTATATCTTTAGAGGGTACTCAATAGGTAACTAGGTGAACGAAACAGACTTGAACAAAATCCAGAGATCACCAAGCTCTGACCTGGGGCTTTCTCCAGTAGGATGCTGGGATGAGTTTGAGCAAGAGAGCACCAATCCCAAGTTCCTACACACGACCTGAGTGCCCACTGAGAACGCTGCTTAGGGCCAGGCATTAAAATGGCCTGATTCACTCTTGGTATCAGGAGAAAGCAGGAGGCTAGAAAGTTCAGGTGATGAGCACTTCTGGACCTTCAGAGTCTCAAATGAAAATGAGGTCAGAAGAGAAGCAGTGTTTTCACAGCATTTCAATAAACTGAATAGCAAGATCTTCTAAAGATATATTCAGGCATGCAAAGGACAGGCCCAACCCAAACGGTGATGGAAAGTGGGGACATCGAAATACCCAGAATCAAGTTAAACGTATCAGGAGATGGGAATTCCTTTTCATACAGGCTGGACCAAGGCCCATTGTGTAAACTCCTACCCCCAAATCACTGGAGCTGCCACCAGCTACCCGAGGTACACCTGAGAGAGCCCCAGGCTGACAGCCATTCAGCAGGTAACAAGTGGCAGCCTTAGATCCATGGAGGGAGTGCTGGTGCCACAGGGTTAGAAAGCTGGAGGAGAGCAGGGATGAGTAGAGCAAGCAGGGTCTAAATGGGGATAGTGGGGGGGGGGGGATAGCAGCAGGAGAAAAAGACAAGTCAGGGCTTGGCTTGGCAGAGAACATAAAAAGGGAGGAGAGCCAGGACAGGGGGTGGGCAATGTGTTTCCTCCCACCCCTCCTTATTATCAAGGAAACGGTGTAGGGTGGTTGCATTTTACACAAGAAATGCGTTTCTTAAACCCTGACACATTAATGCACTAGAACAAATGTCAAAGGCAGGATTCACATTTTGAACTGTGTACATAAACTGAAACTTTATTAACATGTTTTCTAGTGTGGCAGTTTAAATCTGCGTGAAGTGCCACGACAATATGTTTGAGGAAGGAGCCCCCCCCCCCCCCCCGCACACAAAGGGGCAAGGCTTGGGACCAAAGGAGTAAGGGGGCCAAGGCAGGCGGGAGAAGGGGGTGTCAGGGGGCGGGGTGCAGGGAAAGCAGACAGAGAAAAGCAGGTAGGGGTCTCGGCGGGCAGAGACTGCAGAGGTTGGGAGGGGCCGGCTGAGGAGCCTGGCTGAGCAGGAGCTTCACGGATACCTTTGGGCCTTCCCGGGCGAGGGGGCAGCGGTCCCACTTAGCCAGGGCCAGGAGGGTCCGGTTACGCTAAGGGGGCTCCCTAGCCAAACGGATCCGGCTGCGGGGAGCGGCCCGGCCTGGAGGCCCAGCTGAGGCCCGCCCAAGAGCCTGGCATGGCCGGACACAGGGGAGCGCGGTCCAGCTCAAGGAGTACCCCTTCCCAACCAGGTCTGGGCGACGGTGGGGGGCGCAGAGCCTGCCCGGGGAGCGGCGGGCGACGCGGCCTGGCCGGCCGAGGGAGGCCTGGGTGGACCCCCGGGCAGGTCAGGCGGCGAGCGGCCGGCTCCGCTGAAGGCGGTTAGGGGCCCAGGGCAGGGCGCGGCCCGGCCGGCACTCACTCTCGGTGACCCGGCTGAGGCGCAGGACGTGCTCGGGCCGGATGGTGTCCAGGGCCAGCAGCTCTTGCTCCGTGACGGCCGCCCCGATGCCGTCCTCCGCCGCGTGGTGGGGCGCCTGCCGCCGCGCCTTGAGGCGGTTCAGGACGCCGCCGCCCGCCTTCTTCTTCTCCTCCTTGGGGGCCACCAGCCCGCCGGGCCCAGCTGCCGACCCCGCGGCCGCAGCCTTCGGATTTGACCCGCTCATCGCTCCGCCGCCAAGATGGCCGCCGCCTCCGCAGCGCCGTAACTATGGAGAGCGGGGGCGGGGCCCGGGGTGGCGCCTGGGGGCGGGGCGGGGGGCAGCCGCCTGCTCGCCTGCTAGGTCCCAGCCCTAGGGCTGGCGGGGGACGGGGGTGGGGTTCGGGGGGGTTTCCAGGGGGGGTGCCGACCCCCCGGACTCTCCATCGGACCCCCAAGGTCACACCAAATGTCTTTAAAATAGTTCATACTTTCTGTCATAAGGAAATTAATCTGTAGCATAGACATTAAAACAGCACTTGCTCTCCAATTAGATTACCTTTTTTTTTTAAGTTTTTTTTAATTTATTTATGATAGTCACACAGAGAGAGAGAGAGAGAGAGAGGCAGAGACACAGGCAGAGGGAGAAGCAGGCTCCATGCACCGGGAGCCGGATGTGGGATTCGATCCTGGGTCTCCAGGATCGCGCCCTGGGCCAAAGGCAGGCGCTAAACCGCTGCGCAACCCAGGGATCCCCTAGATTACCGTTTTTAAACCCAACTGTGCCAAGCTTTGAGCTAGACATCGGGCTAGACTACAGGAAATGTAAGAACATGAACCAGGGCAGGGATTGGGTCCACCCTATTCACTACTGTATTCTGGCAGTATAGCTAATGCCTGACACAGTAGGTGCTCATTAATGACTGAATGAGTGGGTGAAGGAATGCCCCACCATGTAGGAGCTCCCCTTTTGTTGGGGAGGACTGAAGTACATGATTCATTATGTGGCCCTTCCTCTTGACTGGCCCAATAAGTGTGAATGAACTAGAAGTTGAGCCAGACTGCTAACTGCTCAGAGGTACAGCAATGGTGCTACCAGAATACACAAGAGGGGTCTGGCCCATCCGGAAGAGGCTTCAAGTTCATCATGATTTAGCTATGTGGAGGAGGTGGGCCAGGGAGTTGGGCCAGTGGGTGGAGGGTGGGTTAAGGCTGCCCTCTCACATCCCAAGTGGCTCCTTCTCTAAGGTCAACATCTTCTGTGTTAGAAGCCTGGACCCAACTGTTGTCCTGTGTCTGCTAGGTCTGAGATCACCTCTCAGCCAGACTTAGGCCACAGTGAAACTCCACCCTTCTCCCCATGATCAGCCTCAAAACTTGATTTATGGCAGGCCTTGCTGGGTCCCTCTCACCTTATGTAAGGGGCTTGGGCGGGGCTGACAGGCCTCACCTGGTTCCTGGACAAAATCTAAGCCTGACTCCACCCCAGCTGCCCAACCTGGTAGAACAGTATGTGGCCAATTTCCTATCTAAATGTTGCCCTGTCTTTGAGAGATCACCACTGGGTGGCATTTACCAAACTGTTCAGGAAAATTTTAATAGATGTGTACAAAGAATTAAAGTCCTTCCCTTCGCAAACAACCCTTTTTAAACCACTCAGCAGTGAGTGGTTACTGAAGAATTTCCAGAGCTTTTAATATGCTACTTAATTGTGAATCACCAGGAGGGAGGCTTAGCATGCAGCCATTTCCCACACTCAGTTGCTCATTAAAACTTTGTTCTCAGAACACCAGGACTAGTTACCTGGATCCCCACTTTTTCTAGGGACAATAACAAATATATTACCCCCTTAATCTGCAACTTCAGATCCTTTAGCACAAAGATGTTTACCACAGGACCATTTGTAACACTGAAAAATTGCATCCATTCAGGTTATGCGGCTGTTAAAAATAATGAGATCTATCTATATGCACCAGTATAGAGAGAGCCTAAAGATCTATGGCGGGGGGGGGGGGGGGGGCAAGGCACAGGAATCCCAATTGTTTAAAAAGGACATGAAAAAATAAAATAAAATAAAATAAAATAAAATAAAATAAAATAAATAAAAAGGACATGAATATATGGTTTTATATTTGTAACTGCAAAGGAAGAGGTCTGTAAATGCACTAAAGTTTTAACCACAGTTCCCCTTGAGGAGTAGAGTATCGGAAGGAACTAAAAAGGGAATATAATCACTTTTGACACAAGAGCTACTTATGTATTATTTTATCACAGCAAGTATACTATCATCGGTTGCTTGTATATTTAAAAAATATATATTTTAGGATCTCTGAAAGAAAACGCTAAGCCAAAGTAGCCTTATCTTCTCTTAAAATTGAAAAGCAACTTCACATTTGATCACTTTTTTCTGTTCAAAAGAAAATTAAATAAAAACTGCCATATAAAGGAGTTGGGGCCTATTCTCTCTTGGGTCACACCACCTGTGAGTTGTGACTAAAACCTGGGGATGCCTGGGTGGCTCAGCAGTTGAGTGTCTGCCTTCAGCTCAGGGCATGATCCCGGGGTCCTGGGATGGAGTCCCACATCTTCTCCCTCTGCCTATGTCTCTGCCTCTATCTCTCATGAATAAATAAATAAATAATATATATATATATATAATATATATTATATATAGAATAATAATCTACATATATCATATATATATTATATATAGATGGAGTAGGAAAAATAAAGGCTTATAAACCAATCTGCCTCTGCTTCTCTTCACCAGATCTTCCTAAGGTATATCAAAAAGCTCTTTTAAAAAATGTTTTTTGGAAAGTACATAAACTAACACCGTGTTTGGGGGAAAGAGGACAACAGAGATGCACTGCATTAAAAGCCCAAGATCTCCCTGGGCTAGATGCGTGGAGACCAGTGTGGAAAGGCTGGCCTTCCTTTCACCCCAGCTCCAAGCTCTGTGTCTCTCCTTCAGCTGGTTGTTTTCCTCACTGTAAGAGGTGTGACGGTGGCGGTTTTCCAGGGCAGCCCCAGGGTAGCCAGGCAGTCTGCCTCAAATCAGGCCAGGCAGGTGGGGCCTGGAGCTCATGCAGCCAAGGTAAGCAAGACATCAGAAGGCTTTTTTTCTGCAAAGACCGGCAAGTTCAGTCCTCCTTCCTACTGCCTCCTAAAGGTGGCATGCCTTGAATCCATCAGTCAAGGCTGGGGCTGCAGGCATGCCTCCTGGTCTGGGACTGAGAGCTGGTCATTTCCCTAGTACCCAAGTCACCACTCTCCGGGATGAGGATTGTTTTTGTTTTTACAAAGCATTCATTTCATTTATTATTTATATCCCACCTGTTTCCAAAAAAGGGTTTCTGGCATATTCCCACATCATACAGTACAAGATTGGTGAGTGAAAAATGCATGGAGCCTTGTGGAGGGCAGTACTTTCAAATTTGTGAATGCATATACTGTTTGACCCAGTAACTCCGTTAATAGATTCAGAAGAAAAACTTGCACATGTGCATAATAAATATGTGGAAATATGCACATATGAGCATATAAAATACATATAAAAGGAAAGATACACACCAGACTGTCACCTGTATTTGTCCTCTAGGGATAAATTGGGTAGGTATGAGAATGATTAAGTTTTCACATTCTGCACCCCATATAACTTAAAAAAAAAAAAATCTGTCTATGCATTTCCTGTATCATTAAGCCTTAGAAGGTTACTTTCTTTTCCAGAGAAGAAATGATAGAATAAATCTCCATGTAACCATCACCCAGCATCCTGTTACCTTCATTCAAACAGTTCTTTTTAGAGACTAGCACATGACGGCATTCAGAGCACAAGCGTGTGGTTAGACAGTCCCAGTCCTCACTCTGCCACTTACCAGCTATGGGACTTTGCATGGGTCATCTATCCCCTCTGAATCTTTGTTTCCTTCTTTGTAAGTCAAGCTAGTCACACGTCTGTCTTCCCTAGGGCCGTAGCAAAGAGGAGATGAAAAATAGCAACAAAAAGCATGATGCTGGTGCCAGGGTGTCTCATGAACAGTCACTATGCCAATCTGTTTTGGTGGCCTTTCCCCAAGACCCCTCTGCCATGGGCAGGCATGCCGGACAGGGAGAAGACATGGAGCTGGACAGGAGAGGGTGCTGACTGGGAAGAGCTGAGGGGAAACGAGCTGGGGACCAGGCTTTGAGGAAGCAACACATGGACTCTGGTGGCAGCAGCAAGGAAACCCAGGAGAGCAAGTCTTAGCACAAAGCTAAGCCAGAAAGCAAGTGTGGTTATTTTTTACTAACATACATGTGGGTAGCAACAAACAAAACTATGACTCTGGGGCCAGAGTCCTGCAGTGAGGTGCCTGCCATCTCAGGTTGCTAGAGGGCAGAGGCTTCAGAACCTCCCTGCTCCACCTCCTCTGCCTTGACCCCTTACCACTGCTAACAGCACCAAGTTTTCCAGTATGTGTGGGGAAAACTCCTCTCTTCCTCTATAAGGGGTGGAGGGGGATGGGGTCCTAAGTATGGAGAAAGGTCCAGCACAGTGGCTCCAGCCAACCGGGAGCCTGATTTCCTTAGCAAGATTAAGATCTGGACCCAAGGAGTGGTTTAACCCAACCCCCAGCCCTTGGCCCAAGAACTTCTGTCAGACACTTTTCCTCCCTGCAACTCCCTAGAGCAAGGCTTCTTCAGGGTTCTTCCCCCATTTGGCAACTCATGGAAAGCTGCTTGAAATAGTAACAGCTAGGTCTGAATTAGTAAAGAACTCCCGTTACGGGTGGGCTTGAGCTAAGAAAGAGGCTCTGTGGGCCTCCTGGTTTATTTGGGTCCTGAGAACAGACTCCGTCAACACTGGCCTCATTCTTGGAACTGAGCACTGAATTCTGTCCTTCAAGTGAGGGAGGTAGGCCAAACTCTCCCTCCCTCTCCTCATACCAGCAACCTCCATTCCTGCTGGAGAAATATA